TGCAAAAGACTATCTTGTAAATTTTGATCAAGAGGTTTTTCAGTCCAGTCCAGTCACTACACTGTTTCCACATATTTAGCAATTTCACCTGGCTTGTTTTTCTCAGGGGAACATTTGTCCATAAAACCTGAAATATTTTCTCCATATTTAATTTTGGAATCTTTAACATAGTTAGGCTTTTTGAAATTACCCTCCCAAGGAAGATGGCCTCTGAGCCCCTCGATCTTGCAGTAACCACGTATTTCCAAATCACCACGTCTTGACCGGGCCATGCCATTATGCGCATCAATGCTTGTGAATTAGATAGTGCCATGTGGCATCTTCTGGGGTCCTCTTTGTACTCTTTGATGAACTCCTTCCGGGTAGTACCGATAAGCAAGGCTATGATGTAACAAGTAAACCTTGTCAGGATTCTTGTAGCTCAGGAGTGGATCTGAGGCTTTGATATCTCTGTGTACATACTCATGCTCATGAACATGTTCCAGAATGTCCAGCATTCTTAAGTGTAGCTTCAAGACAATTTTCTAAGAAAACCTTCTGGTGTTTGCTTCATGTATTTTCCGAAGGTCACTCTCAAAGCAATCTATTATCATAAGCCTGTAACTTTTTCTATTTTTTCATGCAGACCAGACCCCCCAATACTTAGGAACACCCAGGTATTTCAACTTATGGACACAAATCCACGAATCCATTTTTTATTTGTTCTGGTTTAGCAGCTCGTTGGTGGAACTTTAACTCAGTCGAAAGGAGTCCATTGTCACTGGGTTCCACTTTTACAACACAGGGTGCATCACTGCAGGCCAGTTTTGAAGAGTTCTTATCAGCAAGATAAATACAACACAGCCGCTCTGGCCAATGGGGAATCCAAGTTCCTTTTTTTTTTTTTTTTGTGCCATGTCAGTTATTATCGCCCCAACTGCAAACTGTTCTGCAAGATGTCTCCTTGCCGACCCTGTCTTCCAGCTTGAGCTGCTTTTAAACAAGGCATTTTTGCCCAAGCTGCAGACAACTCGCCTCCTGCCCAGTACAAACTTCCTGCCACTTTTGTGTCTTCCTCAATTTTAAATGTTCAGTATAGAATTTATAATATTTGTGAGCTTTGGGGACCAGCAGATGATGTAATGGTTATATCATTGGACTCCCACATGGTTAACCACTTCAAGTCTCAGACCTGGAGGCTCGAAACTCATGCTGGGTACATGTACGTGTGTGCCCAAAATCCTGAGAGGAGAATGGAGAAGGGATTGCAGCATGGCCATCCGTCCTAGGGGGTGATTTTCAATTTCTGACTCTCTCTCTGTGTCTGTGTGTGCACTCTCTCTCTCTGATGAGTGCAAAATCTCTCTTAAAAAATAATAATTTGTAAGCTCTTTCTTACAGCACCTTGGAGGCCTTATTTCACTCTCTCTGAACCTTTGTCTCAGGGTCAGTCTCTGTTAATCATCTTTTCAATTGAAAATGGGTCACATTTTCCTATGGTGAGTAATTTTAGATTTTATAAGCTCTATGAAAGTTATTTTTTTCTTTTGAAGAGGTTTTTGCTATAGGGCATGTGTGCTCCCCCAAAAGAGAGAGACAGAGAGACAGAAAGTGAGAAATCACCCCCCCAGGCGGGATGGCCACCCACAATCCCTTCTCCTCCATTCTCCTCTTAGGATCTTGGGCACGGACACCCGCACACCCTGCGTGAGTTTAAACCACCAGGTCCGGGACTCGAACCACGGTCAACTGTATGGGAGTCCAGTGACATAGCCATTTGGTCAGCTGCTGGTCCCAGTTATATGTTATTTTTTTTTAAATCAGGAAATGAATGTGATTCAAACTACAAGCTGTCTCATCTACAGTGGATGGCAGCTGAAATGTTTCAATCTTTGTGCCTCAGTTTCGGTGCAGATATGACTCAGCGGTCAGCTGGAGATTTAGTCAGAGTATATACACAGAATTGGGGGTCCCTAAGCCTGGCTCTTCCTGGGATTCCCCTGCCTCACTTTCCACTCCCTGTCTGTGATTGTCCTGAATTCTGAAGACATATCGCAGGTTTTCCAGCATGGCTTAGCTGTTTCACCTAGCACAGACGGCTGTCAAGTCGAACCGTAGAAACAGGCCCAGCCTTGGTGGCACAGGAAGTAGGTGCTGCCATGTGTTGCTGGAGCCACGTGAAAGGCCTGGCTCAGAGCCTGGATCTGTCTAAACACGCCGGTTGTGGCTGTCCAAATCTTAGCTCACCCAAAGGCTTGGGGGCGGGGGTAGTGGAAGGGTGAAACCCTATTGAAAATAGCGCTCGCTCTTCCTCCCCTTTGCTCTCCTTTTCTCACAAAAAGAAAACAATGAGCTGTACATACGGGAATCCACTCTGTGTTGTCCGCCCTTTCAAGGGTTGACTGCCCCCCAAATTTGTCTGCTTCTGCTCTCTTTCTATTGTTTTCAGGGTTTTTTGTTTTATTGTTTTCTATTTTTTTTCCTCAGAGTTAAAGGTGTTATTTTTGAGAGGGCCAGTTTGATAACAGCTACTTGATTTTGACTAGAAACCTGCTTCCCCAGAATGATGTCTTTAAAATGAAATATCTTGTCACCCTACATCCCCAACACACACACACACACACACACACACACACACCTAGTTATTCAATAGCATCCCATTGCATTGAGAATAAAATCTGGGGCCAGCAGGTAATGTTGTTAAGGCACTGGATCCTATGCAATCAACTACATGGTTCAAGTCCCAGACCCAGCTGCTTGAAAAATATGCTGGCATATGTGCATGTGTGCCCAAGATCCTGAGAGGGGAATGGAGGGAAAGGCATTGCAGCGTGGCCATCCTCCCTGCAGGTGATTCCTCACTTCCCTCTCTGTGACCAGTGTGTGTGTCCTATAGCAAAAGATAAAATAAAATCCAATCTTTATACCTTCTTGATCTTATTGTAGCAGAACCACACATATCTGTCCTGCTCTAGGGTCTTCAGTGTGTTTTTTATTTATTTTTTAGAAAGATTTTTTTGGTGTAGGGCGCATGCACTCGCTGGAGAGACAGAGAGAAACAGAGAGACAGAAAGCTAGAAATCACCCCCCTAGGGGTTTGGCCACACTGCAGTCCCTTCTCCTCTCAGGATTTTGGGCACACACGCGCATGTGCCTGGCGTGAGTTTTAAGCCACCAGGTCTGAGACTTGAACTGCAGTCAACTATGCAGGAGTCCAGTGATGTAACCACTATACCATCTGCTGGTCCACAGTGTAGTTTCTTTCATTTGAATGGCTCTTCTCACTTTTAAAAAAAATACTCTTTTTTTTTTTTTTTTTTGAGCAGTTTTAGGCGCACAACAAAACTGAGGGAAGGTAGAGAGATTTCCCATAACCCTCTTGTCCCCCCTTCTTCACACTTTCCACATGGTTGCTACTTTTCATTCTTCAGATCACAGCCAAACTGTCATTTCCTCCAGGGGGGCGCTTTCTGACCATGCTGTGTAAATGGCCCTGCCTGTACAGTCTTAATTCACCTTCCATTTTGTTTGGCACCATACACTCAGCACCTAGGGTAGTGCCTGGCACATGGTATGCACTCAGTAAATACTCTATAATGAAGGAGGGATGGTTGACTATTTCTAGGAATTTCTTTTTTTTTTTCTTTATGTATGCTAGAGTGTATGCACATTTACGAGAGAGAGAGAGAGAGAGAGAGAGAGATGAGCACTCCCCACAAGGCCAGTCACAGTGCAAGTCCCTGTCTCCAGGCCTCCTGATTCCAGATCCCAGTGGTCACACGTGTGCCCTGTGTGTTTCAGGCTGACCAGGCAGGGAGTTCTGAGATTGCCATAGCGACCTGGCTTCTCTGGAATAGCACATTACCATTGCACCCTAGCGCCTGCCCATCTAGCAATTTCTTTTTTTGGGGAGGAGGGAGATTTTCACTATACGGTGCGTGCGCTCGCCAGATAGAGAGAGACAGAGAGACAGAAAGCGAGAAATCACCCCCCAGGGGGGATGGCCACGCCGCAATCCCTTCTCCTCCATTCTCCTCTCAGGATCTTGGGCACACACGCACACACGCCCGGCTTGAGTTTTAAGCCACCGGGTCCGGGACGCGAACCGCAGTCGACTACCTGGGAGTCCAGCGACATAGCCATTACGCTAACTGCTGGTTCCCTCTAGCAATTTCTTAGAGTAAGATGGAGAAGAAGATTTTAAAACCATTATAATGGCACTTCCCTCTGATGTTAGGCTTGAGTTCAAACCCACCGAGACAAAGTATACGCAGCCCTTCATGGACATCAGTAACCACCTTCTGGACTGCGTGTCATGAGACAGACCTCTTTCTGTTGAGTTTTGCTTTATTGGTAGGTGAGAAAGCTTTTCGGAAACCCTTTGTAGTTGTTAAGATACCAAAGAAATTACTGGTAAGATCTATTTCTCATGGTTGTTTAATCTCAAATGAAAGTAGTTATAATTAGAATCACTAGCCTTCCTCATAAATTCATATTATGGAAAAAATATTGTAGAAGCATGCATTAATGGTATATTTTTTCATGCAATACTTTTTATGCTTGGAATCTAGAATTGACTTTTAAAGTAAAATGTTATTCATTACATAATGTAAGCTTGACTATTAAATTATCTTAAACTTCTCAAAAAATCTTACGATGAAGCCTAGGATTATTGCTATTAGAATAATGTATCAAACAGAATTTCCCCTCATAAGGAAACAGTTTGCATTTCTCTATAATCTGTTACATTTAAAGTAATGAATAAGTGCTAGGGACTTTAAATAGTTACAATGTTATCTATTCCTGTTTGCTTCTTAAGTACTTTTTTTGGGATACAAATTAGTTTTCACTTGTAATTCACATTCAATATTATTGAATTCCCATTATCTTATATTTCCATTATAGTTTTGGTGGGCAATATAATTTAAAATGCTACTCTTTCATTGCTTAAGGAAGTTTCATAGAAAATTCTTTTAATCTTTGCAAGTAATAACAAACGATGTGGGCCTTCAACATTACAGGTTAACAAACAAAAAGAGGACATGGAAATGAGAAAAAAATACAGCACCATCAGGGGCAAGGTTTGTATTTAAATCATTCTCTTTTCCCTTTTCTCTCGTGCTTCTCTGTCGGTTTCGAGCTGAAGAAGCTATACAGAGCATACTGGTGCTTTCCACTTTTCAGCGTCTGAGTTTGACAGAGAAAATTCTGGAAAGTGAGAAGGAAGTGTGAATGGGAGATGAGCTGACTGTTGAGAGTATGGAGGAGAGTAAGAGAGAGAGAGAGAGAGAGAAGAGAGAGCAGCAGCATCAGGAACGTGACTAATGTTAGTCCTGCTGTGCTGACCCTCAGGTTCCAGGTCCGGCTTCCTTGCACCCCCTGCCTCCTTCCTACCCTGACACAAACCTCAAGCTACTGCACCTCAACTCATTCCTCAAAGACCCCATGCCTGGGGCATTTCCAAAGAATATTGATCTGTGATATGTTTTTCTTGTGATATGTTTTTCTTCTTTTTTTTTTTTTTTGAAAGGTTTTCACTATAGGGCGCGTCGCTCGCCAGACAGACATAGAGAGACAGAGAGGCAGGAAGCGAGAAATCACCCCCCTAGGGGGGATGGCCACGCCGCAATCCCTTCTCCTCCATTCTCCTCTCGGGATCTTGGGCACGCACGCACACGCGCACGGCGTGAGTTTTAAGCCACCGGGTCCGGGACGCTTACTGTGGTCGACTACGTGGGAGTTCAGCAACATAGCCATTACGCTAACTGCTGGTCCCTATGATATGTTTTTCATAGAACACTAGAATCAATGAGAGGCTGGGGAGGAGAAATGGGTCCCGCCTGCAAATCGAGTCCGGCCAGGGGAGCTATGGGGATGGAAGGAAGAACCAATCCATGCTCTTTGGTACTGAAAGTTTCCCCTCTGCAATCCCAGTTCAGGGGAAGAAGGGGGAGGAAACACAAGGGTCGCAAATCTGAGAACATGATAAGAATATCAGTCAATTGTTTTTGTGTGCCAGAGCCTAAGATTAGCCAAGGGAAGAGAAGCCTCTTTGTCCCCGTGGCCCACACAGACCAGATCTTTATCCAGGACTATAACAACTTCGAGGCCATCTTCTGTTTCAAAGACACCTCCTACTTCGAGGCCAACGTCTGCTTCCATCAGTACAGCATCGCCTGGCAGGACCAGGAGAGTCAAGACTTCAAGGAAATCTCCAAAGGGACACCATCACCACCGTGCGGTAAGAACTGCTCACATGACCACTTGTCACTCCTTCATCTGCAGGGGCACTGTTTCGTTAACACGGTGGTTGCTGCTGCCTCATATTTCACGTCCCATCATCGAGGTCCACGGTCTACACACGTCACTCTTCTGAGCAAGGGGTGCTGGCTGCTGTCTCTAAACCAGCATGCCTGTCATCCCCAGCTTGGCGGTTTATTTAGCTTAGTCACTAAGCTGTGGTAGACCACCGTGTAGCTAAACTGAGAAGCCACACTCCAAGCAGTGTCGGGTGTATGATCTCTGCCTCATGATTGCCCAGTGTCCGTCAGAAGCTTACCAGGGTTCCCCGAAGGACATGCAAATATTTAGCCTCTTTGCTCCTGTGGGACTCTCGAATCAACATGTGGATAGAATCACACCATCAGAGCCATGCACACATGAAATAGATGCTCTTCCTCTCCTTATCCACCTTCCCCCCAAGTAACCAGAGCTGGTTTTACTGAGCCAAGGCTGGCCCACTGGTCCATGAGTGAAGAGGCGGTTCTGTGAGGTGCAGCTCACAGTGGGCCTGTTACGTGGATGTGGTTGAGGCACCGCTCAGTAGTTAGGCAATAACGCCCTTCCTGACGCCCCTAGGCAGCATCTTCTCCTGCTCTTAGCTGCAGGGAGCGCCTTCAAGTGGATACAGTCTTTTTGCTTATGCTGGAGGGCATGTGAAAGCTCTCAACAAAGACTTCACCTACTGCTGGGCGATACTGATAGAACAAACCAGAAGGTCAGCCAGAGAAGGCCAGGAGAGTCTTGGGAGAACCACGAGATGCAGGCGCAAGGTGCTCCACAGCTGAAGTTGGCAGCTTGGCTTTCCCTATAAAAAAATGAACACAGAATGTCTTGGAACCCCAGGGTCCTCCATGAGAGACACCTGGTCCACCAGGTGTCTTTCTTTCTGTCTGTCCTTGCTCAACCCACAACCCTTCCCCTTGGGGTTCCAGGTGTCTCTGCTGCTTGGCTGTGACACTAGCCTTGGGAATAGTTGCATTTCCCCAAGTAGTTGGTGGACCTGTGGGCACTGGGAATTGTGTCACTAGTCAAGGCTGTGTTGATCTACAAAGCTGAGATCCCAGTTGGTGACACACAACTGTGGATGGCACTTGACGCACACAGTCTCTTCACTTACATTTTTTTCCCCAAGAGAGTTTTGCTATAGGGCTTGTGTGCTCACTGGAGAGAGAGAGAGGAAGCAAGAAATCACCTACCAGGAAGGATGGCCATGCTGCAGTCCCTTCTCTCCCATTCCCCCTCAGGGTTTTGGGCACTCACATGTACCCAGTATTGAGTTTCAAGCCTCTGGGTCCAGGACTCAAACCATGGTTGGTCAGGTGGGAGTACAACGCCTTAACCAGTATGCCACCTGCTGGCCCCCACTTGCATGTTTTGATCTCCATTCTTTTTTGTCCTATTTCATGTTCCAGGTTCTTCCTTCTTCCCCCACAGGGGCAGAGCCTGCCTCTCAAACACCCAGACACACGGAGGAGTAGAACAGAAACGTGTGCCCTGTGCACATCTGGGCTCCAAAAGTGGGAGAGGAGAGGGACAGACAGAGGGATCACTCATCATCTCTGGGGGAGGAGAGAGGGGCAGGTGACACGAGGCCAGGGTTATTATCTCAGTGGAACCTCTCCATCTGGAAAGAGACACCAGGAGATAATACAAAGCATTCTCCTTTGAGAGCATTTCTGTTTTACAGGTTAGAAAGCATAGCCGACAGAAAGCAGTGTAATTTCCCGAGGAAGAGAATGGCCCTGGGGAAAGGGGTATACATGACTGATCAATAACTGGGTCTAGGAGTAAGACTTTTATAACCTAGATCTTGGGAAGGTTTTCTGTTTTATTGTTTTGTTTTTACACAAAGAAAAAAAAATTAAATAACCTGAACACACAGAACTGCAGCGGACCTGGGTGGGACACCAGCCACCCTAGGTATGGCACTCTGGTCCAAGCCGTGGCCTTAGTGAGCCATGGCCAAGGTAGTATCCTGTTTGGGGAAGCTGAGTCAGTGGCCATGAAACGGGGCATGTGTCAGGGGTCTCTGGTCTAAGGCTCTGAGATGATCCCGAGGAGGACTGCAGAGCGGGGTCAGCAACTGGAGGAGACAGCTGAGCCTCTTATCCGAGGTCACAGCAGCAGGGGGCAGCTGCAGCAGGCGGTGCCTCATCCCTACAGAAACCCCAGAGCCAGAAGGAAATCCGAGGATTCCAGCTCAGGAACTCCAGGGTCCTCAAGTTATAGATAGAGATTGAGGTTCCAAGGTCACAGCCAGGAGGGACAGAGATAATGCCTGTTCTCCCCCATCGAAGCAAAAGAAAGGAGAGACAAGGCAACTTTGGACCTCTGCAGAGCCGCCGTTTCAATAGGCTTTTCTCTTAGTGTCTGGATCTTTCCTTCTGACTTTAACGATTGTTATCTGGGTTTTCCAAAGCTTAACAGTACATGTTGTCAGCTACAAGAGACTCTGAAGTTAATGTGTAACAGTAAATACAAATTGGACCAGGGAAAGGGGAGAGGTGATGTGAGCTGATGTTTACAACTTTATATTAAGTGACTTAATTTTGAAGTGAAATATATTTTTCTAGTTCACTGTTTTTGTTATCATATACATTTTCGTGGTTAATAATGATCCTATTATTAAAACCACTTCCTTATATCACCTTCCCACATGGCTTATTATTCACTGTGGATTAACTAGAGATACACTCTCTAGTTATAATTTTCATGCCTGTCTTTTCTTTCTTTTTTTTTTTAAGAAGAAAGCACATTTTCTGTCGTTTAAATATTTAATTCTATGGAGGTAGCTGAACCTCTTAAAAACTTGTCTTTAAAGGCCTTTGTAATATTTACCTCTGTAAAAGACCAAATGGAGAGCTGGCTGCAGGAACTTTTGACATCAGTCATTAAACTTATCTAATTAATCATACTTATTTTTTGAAATCTGTGTCATTCGGTGGGAACAGCCCACATGCTACACACAGCGGAGCACACGGTGATAAACTGAATGTTTAGCCAGTCTGGAAAACACGATATGAACCCTGGCGTTGGAGTTCTATTCATGAACCATTTCACAACATTGGATCTGTATTTGCTCAGTGCTATTGGGTAAAGTTTATTTTTCGATATCTGTAAAACATTTCACATCGGCAGGTTTCACATATCAAGGTTAAATCGGATTCCCAGGTCTTGCTCCCCCTGCCCTGAGTAATTAGTTAATTAAGGTTGCACCCAGTAAACGCTGCCCTGGAAGACTTTCCACGGGGTAACCTGGTCCACGCCGGCGGAACATATGGTGCCTGCTCAGAGCTACAGAAAGAATCAGGGCCCTTCTGTGTGGGAAATGGGACACGGGACAGTCATGTTCCCATTCTTAGAGCTCTCTCAGACAAAGCAATTTGAACAGATAAGAGATTTCATAAAAAATCTAGAACATTGTTTTATTAGTATCCAGGATTACTGTTAGGTAAAAGATCTTTGCGATAATTTTGCATTTACCACCAGAGTCACCCTGCAAGCCAGTCATTTTATTAACAAACAGACAAACAAACTATTATCTTTATAGGGCGTAGTATTATAGGCTCAGTCAGTGAGGAAAAAGTCCTCGAGTTTACGGTTTCTCTCCTATACAAACTTCTATTCGGTTAAATTGCACATGAAGTTTAAAATGAACTCTGTCAGAGAAGAAAATAATGTAATCTCGTCATTGTTCCATTATTACCTTCCTCTCTCCCTCGGCTTGGTCTGATAGAGCAGACAGTGAATACCTCTGCAGGGCAAGGCGGGAAGCCCCTGCTGTCCTTCGCTTTTCCGGCAACGTGAGGCAATGCAGTAAATAGAGGCAGGACCATGCCAGACGTGCGCATGGCCCTTGGAGGTTGTCTCAGGATATTTACTGTATTTTGTAGATTATGTTGACACGAAGAACTTCCCTTATCATATTGGATCTTTGTTTCATAATATGAATAACTTTAAAAGATAGAGATCATTGAAATCACACAGTACAATTACTTGTTTCATTTAAAAATCAAATTTTAGTATAAAATCAAATTGTCATTTACTAATTTATATTTCACTAGCATGAAGTCATCTTTACATTCTACTCTCAGAGCCCAAAATTGAAAATCTGAGTAATATATCTAAAATTTAACTTAAATGTGGCTCTCATCTTCCACGTTATTATATTCTGAGTCGTTAGATGACAAATTAAACATTTTCGGTATACTTGGAACTGAAAATATTTTAGTGAAAAAATAATTTTCTATATTTGGTGCACAAATGAAAAGTGGTATTTATTAAAAATTAATTAAGGGTGTCTTGTTTGCTTTTTCTCTTGTTTTTCAGGAAAAATGATAACATTTTATTTGTGAGTTGGTAACGTTTTTATATAATTTAAATTAAAAACTAGAGATTTTTGCTGTGGAAATCAGACATAGATAAATTTGGGATTTTGAATGATGTGCTATTCTTCCTTGGCACTCTCAGCCGTGAAGGCACATGTGAGGTCCTAACCACGTGTGACACTGACTTGGTGTCGTCTTTAACATTTGGAGCCCACAGAGCAGCCATCGTAGCCCTCACTCACGGCGTTGCTTTATTACATTCAGCTGGGCTTCAGCTGTGGGTTTCTCTCCAGTTCCCACTGGGAGTTGAGGCCAGCCCTGGGCACCAGGTCATCTGGCCCGAATCTTGACACTGCCCAGACTTGGGTCTTTCTCCCAGAAGACTGAGCATTTGACATGCTGTCATTCATCACGACGGCCATCACTGCATATGCCAGTTCTTGGAGCTGTGCGCGCCATCATGGAACTGCTTCAATAGCCGTGCTTGCAGGGTCACGCTGGAGGTAGCCACACCCTTCTGGAGACCAGCAGTGAAGTCTGGTTTTCTACTTGGGATCCAGATTTACCAGCATATCCGTTTCTCCAGTCCTGGTCTTTCCAGGTTCCAGCTTTCTCCTCGAATCCTGGAAAT